CCCTGGTTCGGTGCCTGAGTTTCAGGGCAGGCCGGTCTGATGACAGACCGGAAATGGCCCTTCGTTTCAGGCTAAAAAGGCTACTGCCATTTTTAGTCTGAAACGACACAGGGTCTGTAGGCCCCTGTTTTTCAGGCTTTCGAGCTGAATGGTCACGGGGCCTGTAGGCCCTGGTTTTCAGGCTTTCAGCCTGAGGGACGCAGGGCCTGGAAAATGGTCCTCGTGTGCAGGCGCAGCATGTAACACCCCATGATGGACCAGGCGATCCTCAGAACTAGTTAGGAGTTTTGAGAGGAAATATGCACTGGCTGTCGTAGTGTTTTTGAGGGGGATCTGCCATGTCCGATCTCCGGTCTCCTTTTCCCCCCGCTGGATTGTCAGGGATTCGCCGCAGTACATGCGCTTCACCTTGCCCGCCCAGGAGGTGGACGAAGAACCCGGAGTTGCTTGTGACTCTATTTGCTCTTTGGTTGCCTGCAATTCTTTCAGAAGTTGTGCAGGCCGGATAGTCATCTTTTGCTGCTGCTGTTGTTGTTCACTGTGATCTGCCATGCAAGTGTGATGTGTCTGCTGCGTTCGCGAAGAGGTGATGTCTTTTTCTTTCGCCGGGTGGCGCATCACCCCTTGATAAAAAGTTCGTTTGCGCCCGGTCTTTTTGCTGACTTCTTCGCCGTCATACTGTCGGGACAGTGTGTTCGGGCGGACTGTTTTTCCTGCCCCTATCAGTTCCTCGCCCCCACTGCAGGGAAATTCCTTCCTGCCGGGGGGCACTGCAGTCGGCCCTTGGTGTCTATTAAAGGAGTGCGGTACCAGGTGATAGGGAATTCGACTGTAAAAAAGCGAGATCTGTCGTTCAGATTTCTCCCTGTCCCTCAGAGATGTCTGGAAAAAAAAAACAATCAAGGGTCAAAACAGTTCTCCGTGAGGTCATCCAATCAATCGAAGGTCAAAACAGTTCTACGTGCGAGGTCATCCAATCAGAAAGTGGGAGGAGACATGAGAGGGCTGGGAGATGAGGCGGGACGTATGAGGTCAACCAATCAGAGAGTGGGAGGAGTCAAAAGAGGGCCGGGAGATGAGGCGGGATTGGAGGTGATACCGTCAGAAATTGATGATGCCCGTCACACATACTAGCAACCATTTCTTCCTCCTCCACCATGTGTTTATCCTTCACACGGGGCCCCGTGAGGAGGGAGGTGGTGTAGCTTGCTTTATCTTTCCTCCCTGGTTCGCGCTCAGCTCCTGGCTCCCTCATGTGTTCATCTAGCTCTTTCATGTATGTTCGCTGGTTGTTCCCACTCCTCTGTGAGCGGCTCGCTTTCGTGTGCTCTTCTCTGATTATTCCCGCCCCTTCTGTTTCGCCACTCCTTCACCTTGGAAACTATGGGATCTCCCAGGCCTGAATGGCTTCTCTTCTCCCTGGACATCGCAGGCCCTCTAAAGGGTTGGAAAGCGCTTTGTCGAATGGCCCCGTGAGCAATCGCCGTCCCACCCCTTCCCTCTATTGTGTCATCATGCTCCGTTCTTCTTTTCCACCGAAGGGTAGCAATCGCTAATCTCTTTCCTCCACTTAAACTGCATCCGATCGGTACTATCCTACACCCCTTACTGCTACGCGTTTGTTTTTCTTCCCTCCCGTCAGAAAACCTAGCCTTTTCTTCAGTCAGTCTCGCCCGTCTTTAGCATGGAATGCCTTCGTCTTGGGTTTGATGGCCTTCTTGTCTCGATCATAGCCGCTTGCCGCTAAAGCACATGCGCTTGCCCCGAGTGAACTGGCGGGTTAGATAGCCGCCGCCCCTGGAGGGCACTACTGAGCACGGCACCTCCGCGTGTCACATCTTCTTCATCCTCCTCCTCGCGTCACACTAGGGTGGCGCATCAACCCACGCGCCCACCCTGATGCGACCTCAGCAGTCCTCGCGATGGCAGGCCCCGTGGCACTTCGAAGATGTGCACCCCAACTGCCGTGAGACTGTCCTAGCGTGAGCGCAAGGCGGCGCTGTACCACAGAAAACAGTAGTGAACTCTAACCTCTACGTTCAAACTTTACTTATACCCTTTTCCCCCCTTTCTCACCTGGCCCACGCCTGTAGTTGTGGCATCTAGGCCTCAATGCACCATGATTTTTGAAGCTTACTCGTACTAACACTCCGCCTATCGGGGATAATGGGAATAAATACAAATATCAGATTATGGATTTAGTGAAATATGTAGCATTTTCAGCGATTCTTCGGATTTCTTCCTGAGAAATCTTTTTGAATAGAAAGAATATCCTTATTATATAATGTCATTTGAGTTAATGTTACTTGCTGTCTATTTGAACTTTCAAGTATTTTCTGTTTATCTGGATAGCAAGATGGGTCAATCATTTGCTCAAATCAAGAAAAATAAATCATATCTACAGATAATTAACAGGATTTCACGATGCCTGCAGGTGGTGCTTCAACCAGGTTGGTGTCCATGGGAATTCTCATAGGGGGAATTAACAGGGACTGCAGATCCTTGAGGAAGCCTTGGGTAGGAACCATCATGCAAAAGATAGGGGAGGGTGGGATATCACATCTTAGTGGAAGAGTGCATCACTGCTCATAGAGTCCACGTGTGAGGCACAGGTGGGGGATGACTGCATATGCATGGTCCCCGCCAGTGCCTGGTTCATCCTTAAAGCAACAGTACATGGACACCTGGGCCACAGATCTGACACCTCAAATTCTGGAGGCGCGAAACAAAAAACGAGGCTGCCAATCGAATATATCAACGGCAGGCCCAATGTTTCACATTTCAGCTTTTTTTTCTTGTGGTGACAAGTTTCGGACTGCAAGGATGGGGCCGGGTACTTGTGGTTTACCATTAGAGTTAGGGTAGTGTCTGCATAACGTTCGGGTCAGTCCGGTAAGCATTGGCGCAGATCACAACCTGCGATCTGAGCATTACCATAGGTCATGGTATCATGGTGCCACCTTGAGGTGACTCTTCCCAGGGTCTCACAATCCATCTGACCTTTCAATGGACGAGAACTATAGGCACCTCCTCAGGCCTGGCCTCCACCCTCTACTACACCCTGGACCTTTCAAAATAAATAAATAAAACTAAAAATCATTAATAATAATAATAATAATAGATTAACAGGATACCACCCCTGAAATCTTCAGTCGGAATACCTAGTTTGGAAGGTTATACCCCACCAACAGACAGAATTAAACCACCAGTACTTGGCCATCGTGGTCAGGTACCCCAAAGGCCTTAAGGCGTGGCGCATTAAGGGGGAAGCGCTGCGTCGATAGCTGGGCCAAGTACTGGTGGTTTAACAGGATACGATCATCATTTTTGGTTCATTATCTATCAAGAATTTACAGGATAAGATCATACCTTGGGCTACGTTCCACATACCCATATCAATCTTTTTGACCCTCGATTGCAGAGATGGATGGTCAGGAATGAAGAACTTTGGCAGGTGGGACCAGGTTCCTGTGGTTCTCCGTTTCATGGTTCGCCGGTGCTAAACCATGTGTTGCGTGATGTGGACCATAGGGACCATAGTTTCCATGACAAGAGGGTCCTGTGGTACGGATACATGTGTGGCAATACAATTGACAGAATTTTTTATTTTTCATATATTTTTTAAAACAGAGGCTCCGTCTATTGGTGGGGAGCAACACCTGCTGGAAACCGGGTCCAGCGTCCCATTTACAAAGTATCAAGATAACATAGTGGATAGAGTGTGAAACAAAGACCTTAGACTTCTGAATTCCACCAGCATTGATTGCCCAGGTAAAAGGCCCTGGGGATTAACTGAGTGGGCTACTTCTGGTTGAACATAAGGCCACTGTTTGTGGCATGAAAAATGTAACAGAAATACCGCAGAGCCCGGAGGGGCCCCAGCCACCTGGGGAGTTTTGTCATCTATCCTGGTGAGAGGACAAAGGTTACAAAGGTAGGGAAATATATACCCACACACAGACAATCCAGTCCCTCTGTCACCCTCAGGCACATTCAGGCTGACCAGTACACACGCTCCTGTGTGTTCACAATTCCGAGTACTAGTTCTATAAACTTCTTTTCTTTTCTTCTTTCCCTTTCCTAGTACTTATGCATTTCAATGTTCACAGAAGAGGTAACACAGTCTGTTACTGAAAAGGAACACTACACACAGGTAAAAAAAAAAAAAAAAAAAAAAAAAACCCACAAACAAACAAACAAAGAATATTACACAGGTACACACCCACTTCATACGGAACAATTGGTTACAGTCCCTACGTCAATTAGCCTCAATGAAGAGCTATAAAGGTCATCTCTTTCTCCTTCTCTCTCACGTACCCACACAAACGAATATAAAAAGTATTGAAAACAACAAAAGAATTATCTGAATTACCTGGGGCCTGCACGTTTGGCTAAAACGTATCCCTTTCTTTTTTATACATACACATAAGAAGCCCTTTCTGTAAGTCCTCTATCCTGGTGGTGGTAAGAAAACACCAGAATAGAAGCTCTGCCTGTCAGGGCTGCTCCACCTATTGGTGGGGGGAGCATCACCTGCTGGAAACCGGGTCCAGTATCCTTTTTTTTCCTTCTTAATGGGAACGAAGCTCCAATCTATTCATGGGGAGCAGCACGTGCTGGGAACCGGGCCCAGCGTCCCATATGAAAATTCACATAGACATTTGAAAGTTTGAGATACCAGGGCCATTACCCAGCGTTGGCTAAGAAAAAATTGAGCTACTTAGATAGTACACAAACTTCAGAGATAGGCAAAGTTCAGACAGAAATGACTCAGAGACCCCCCATCAATCCTCTGTACCTCACTCCGGCAAGACTTATTGCAGCAGAGCCACCATCTCCGCTGCTGCTGTACCCTATTTCCATCATACGAGCTAGCCCTCTCACTAGTAGGTACACCATCTCAGTGAATTGTTTCTTCGGACTACGGCCATTATTTTCAGTTCCTAGCCTGGTGCACCTCCTTTCCCTCCGGGGCTTCATAAATCACCCAATTCCTCCTATTTTAAGAGCTCTTACTTCCTACTGGCCTAAACCCCCACTTTGAAAATTCCCAACTGTGTTCTCCTATCCTATCTCTCTTTGAAGCTTATTCAATTTGGTCCTAGCTCTATTCCAGGTATCTGCAGACCCCCCTGAGTAGACTCCGTCTATTAGTGGAGCGCTGCACCTAAGTTCCTGCTTTCTGCTGGCCCAGGCCCCACCTGGAAAATTGCCAACTGTGTCCTCGTATCCTATCTACCCCTGTAATTAGAAACACACTTATGACAAAAAAAAAAAAAAAAAACATTTGTAGATGATTGTGGGCTCTGTGCGTGGCAACCACATGTTTTATTACCACGCCCCTGTTCCCGGCGCGTCCTGTTCTGTTCGTGTGTCAGGATCCCGTTTGTCTCGTACTTCCCACTCTGACCCTGCACCAGAAGGGACCAGAAGGGACCTGTCCATCGTCCTTGCATGGGAATCCTGCGGGCAATGCGGGCGGTTTCCTGAACGGCTGGTGGCGTGGTCGGCGCACCTGTCTCCTGCACTGCTGCTACCTGCCTCCACTGATGGTCAGGCTGTGGCAAGGCCACTGGCCAGGGATTGGGGGTGGGAGGGTAGTGGCTTAGAGGAGAGCGGTGGGTCCAGGGTTGTTGGCAGGGGCGACAGTGGCAGCGGTGGGTGGGGGGGAGGGCGGGGAGGGTTTATGTTGGTGGAGGGGAGAGGGGGGGAAGGGGCACGTTCGAGACAAGGGTGCTGGGCACTGTGGCAGTGTGAGGGGCCGGGTGGGCGCTGCTGGGGTCAGTGGCAGTGGGGACTCGGGTAGGGGTGGGAGAGGGGATGGGGTGGCTGTGGGGGAGGAAGATGGGAGTGGGGGTTGCGGCGACGGGGCGAGGGGAGGAGGCAAGAGTGGAAGAGAAGGCGGCTGAGATTCCGGAGGGGAGGGATGGTTCGCGGGCTGATGGTCTAAAAAGTACGCCGATCTACTCTCCTCTGCCGCTCTCATGCTTTGGCCCGGTGAAGGAGTGAAAAAGTACTGCAGTGGTCTGACCTCCCACTGCAATGTGTTTCTTGGGCTTCCCAGTTTTTACAGGCGAGGTCCCCATACTCTTTTTGATCTGCAATTTTGCAGTTCAGGTCGATGCAATGGCCTGTTGTCTCTGTTTCTGGTCTGGGATTTTTCCCCCATAGAAGATCCATGAGCTCGTGGCCCTTCTTGGCTATGGATCCTAAAGGGGATGATTCATAAGTTTTAGAAAGGTACATGAGCTCGTTGCCCTTATTGGCTATGGTTCTAATATCAAAACCAAGAAGAAGATCGTGAGTCATAAACTGATCCATGAGCTCGTGCCCCTTCTTGGCTATGTTTCTTGAGGTTCTAAGAAGAAGATGAAGATAAATGTTTCCAGAGAAGACCCATGAGTTCGTGCCCCTTCTTGGCTATGGAATCTAAGATATTAGGAAGATAAGGGATGATTCATGAGCTCAAAAAAGATACATGAGCTCGTTGCCCTTATTGGCTATGGTTCTAAGGAGTAAGAAGAAGATGATTCACGAGTCCTAAATGATCCATGACCTCGTGCCCCTTCTTGGGGCTGCTTCCCGTCATGCGCTGGATGACGACCCTCGCATACTCCTCTAAGACTTCACCATGAAGACCACCTCGCCACCTAGAGACAGTGGAGTCCAGACGTACCAGTACATTGTTACGATATTGAGGAAGACAAGAATGCATGCGTTCTTCAGTGCGACGCTCACGTCCTCCTTAACCATACAGACCTGCTTTCGTCCTCCTTCACCATAAAGACCTGCTTCCGACCTGGAGGTAGTGGAATCTGGATGTGCCGTTACATTTATTGCGAAGATGGGAGAGGAGGAATACGCATGAGAATTCTTAAGTGAGACCCTCCCATACTCCGTCACAATGAAGAGCTGCATGCCACCTGGAGGCAGTGGAGTCCGGATGTGCCGGTACATTACTGCGAAGGTGAAGAAGGAACCAGATGAATGCGATCTTAAGTGGAGGGCGTCGTGATGTTCATGGCGTCGGTGATCTGGTGCCCCTTCTTGGCTATGGTTCCCGTCGTGCGCTGCATGACCCCCCTGACATACTCCTTGACCATGTTCATCTGCTTGCCGCCTGGGGGCATCGGTCCCCTGAAATACCGGTACAACCACCACAGGCCGAAGACCGCGGCCACAGTCGCCGCCAGACCTCCACCGACAGTGAGGAAGAACAGGACGACGGGAATCCATAGCGGTGAGGTGACCAGAATGAGTGGAGAGAAGAGAAGGAGGATGCCTCCCACGACGACGAGAGCTGGCAGACCGACAACCAGCAGGACCGGGGTCGCCAGAGCGGCAACCACCCCTCCCATCGTCGCCAACACCAGTGCCCATCGCTTGTAGCCCATACTTTTCAAGCGTTGGAACAGGGTCTTTGCCTGTTGTGGGACCACCTCCTCACCCTTCGCCGCCACATCTGCCGCCTGTTGCGACGTCTCCTGCGCCTTCTCGACCATCTTCTCCTTCACTTCCGACACCGACACCGACATCTTCCTCTTTCCGGTGACGTCAAAAAGTAATCAACCCGACCAGTCCGGAACCAACCCCCCTCAACCGTGCTGTAAATCACCCTCCTGTACCACGTTCACGCAGGTAGCAATTACGAGACCCGGATCCTGACAAGATATATCCCCTGAGCTACAGCTAGCCTCAACTCCGAAGCCAGGCTAGCTATGGCTGCTCGCGCAACTTTCCACGTTCATCGGACCCGTCCACAGTCTAGTCCGCGAAACTCCTCCGTTCGTCAAGATGAGAAAAGCTCTCTCTCTCTCTCTCTCTCTCTCTCGAGCGAGCGAGCGAGCGAGCGAGCGAGCGAGTTGTCTCACTTAATCTCCTTGTGGCTTTGATGAGCCTTCTGCTCGTTTTATTCATATTCCTTATCTCGGATTGGCTTGCTTCATCAGCTTCCATCTCGTTTACCCCTCTCCCCCCGGCCCTCCGCCGACCCTCAATGCCTCGTATCATGAAGCGCGCTGACCAGTTTCCCCCCGTTTTGACCCGCTCCGCCCCCCCCATCCCCCGACCTTTCTTCTCCCCCCCCCCACGGTGGCGCCGTTATGTCTTGTCCAGTGAGACATTTTGCAGCAGATAACCAGGCTGCCTAGATCTGCCTGCCGTGAATCTGGCCGCAATCTTCACCACTGTGCTTTGCAATCGAAGACGAACTACCACCGCAGCACCTCCGTTTCTTTTTTTTATATTTTCGGGGTCCGTTTTGTTTTTCGGTTGGTTGATGAGTTTTTTTTTTTTTTTTTTTTTTGTGCACAGCCGATATGGTAGAGACTGTAGAAGAGGATATCCAAAACATATTTTGGTGGCCGATGATAACCCTGACCTGCTCTGAATCTGGCCGTCATCCTCGTTCAATCAAAGGTACCTGCTCTGAATCTGGCCGTCATCCTCGTTCAAACTGCTTCTCCCTGAGTGCGAGCTTCCCAGACAAAAAGCGGGTGCTGAGGTCGATGTCATTTCATTTCGAACACGGTTGACGTCAACCGATAACTGCTCGTCTTCTCTGGTCGCTCCTTTCCGTTTTCAAAACGAGCGACCGCCGAGGCTGGACCAAACCTCTACCGACGCTACCGACGTCCTCCTTGAATTCGGGAAGTGAAGAAAGTTTGGCTGGGCGGGGTACTGGTGGTTTAACT